TGTATTGTGAAGTTTTCAAATTTCTTGCCATTTTTATGCAGTGATTCCCTATAACCTGAAAATTATTTCAAGGGTTCCACCAGGATAAACGGATATTTTAATTTACTTCCTAACTAGTCAATCAATGTAAATGTTAATCCTGGAACCTTGTATATATGCATCCTCTTTCTACTTTCTAGTGCCTCTTTATCCTTTTGATGTCTGTTCTTTCCAAATATACGTGTGCTATTTCAAAGCAATTAAAAAACCCCAAAACACTAAAAGTCAAAAGTCTGTTACCAATGATTTTACCTTTCCTGAATATGAACTTAGCCCATATGTTGTTCGGGACTTTCCTCCAACCAGAACTACATCATCTCCAAATCTATAGGATGATTCAAGAAGTGACTCAATAGTGAAAGGAACAGCTTCAATACTCTCTCTGTCACGATCCCACTGGAAAAGGTCTCCATCCAAGGAGGGAATTATCATCTTATTCCCAAATACCTACAAAGTATTCAAACAGAAATATATATTTTAATAAGGAAAAAAAGGATACAATACTCATCAGAATCCAGAAATATTTAAAATCAAATGTGACCCAGATGAATAGAAAATTGCCATAATAATGACCCCTAAAGATGGTTTGTGTCATAGAAGTAGTCAGTCTGAAAACCAACATGGATCAGGGCACTATTCTGACAGAATAGTGCCCTGATCCATGTTGGTTTTCAGACTGACTACTTCTATGACACAAACCATCTTTTCCTTCAACCATAGAGTCAAACCATCTATAAATGAAAAAAAGTTGAACTGACTTCTAAGCTAGCTTGTTTATCTGTGCCTACACATCTAAGTTAGATAATGTTCACTATTTATACCTGCTCTTTTCCCAGTAAACCCATCCAAGGATTGAAAACTCATTTTTGATGTAAATCAATGTTTTAGGGCTAGGTTTATAATAACAGACTAATATAAATGTGCCTCATCACTTCTTTAGAAAGAGGTTTAAATAACCTCTGGTTTTGGTGCAAAATCATAATCAGTAATTTCCTGAGAATGGAAGGTAGTGTGAAGTCTAATGATATACAGGTAGTCCTCACTTAATGACAATAGGGACCGGAACATTGTTCGTTAAGCAGGGCTGTCATTAAGCAAGTCACCACATGACTGGACCTGATTTTATGACCATTTTTACAATGGCCGTTAAGTGAATCACCATGGTTAAGCAAATCACGAGGACATTAAGCAAATCCAGCTTCCTCAATGGACGCTTTTTGCCGGAATTCGCTTAATGACCACATGATTTGCTTAACGACTGTGGTGAGTCACTTAACTGTCATAAAAAGGTAGCAAATCGTGATCATGTGGCCGCGAGGGGGAAGGTTTGTGATGGTTATAAGTGCTAATACAGGTTGTAAAGCACTTTTTCTAAGGCCATCGTAACTTCAAAGCATCGTTAAACAAATAGTTGTTAAGTGAGAACTACCTGTACATATGAATTAGGCCATGAGAGAAAGAATGGAACTGGAAGAGTTTTTTCTATAAAACTGAAATGTGTGTATACTGTGGAATTTTCTTGTTGCACTTTCAAATAGCAAAGCCCGGTGTCTTTCTACAAATTGCTTTCAAAGCTAAAATATGTAATTTGTTATGGGGCACAGTGGGTCTGTTATTCAAAAATAAAATTTATAAGCCCCTTTAGCACACAGAAGAGTTTGTCAGGATCGTTGGATCCTAGCCATTGTCTTTTCCAGAAAGAAGAAAAAGAACTGATTTTCTCCTTTTAGATACGAGATCCGCTGTATTTCAGATCAAAGACAAAGAAACATCTTGCTCTGAGATATAAAGTCCATGTGTAATTTCAGCAATACGTGGAATAAGATCTGGCAGAAATATAAGCTGGAACCATAAGAGGCAGAGAAACTGGAGGATATATTATTAACATGCAATGAATGATAGACACTAAATTTGATCTTAGCCAAGATTAAGAATAATGGAAAAATCAACAGAATTCCAAGGATAGATAGATAATTACTCATTATATAAAGGCTTTTGACTGACCATAACAAATTGTGGTTAAAAATGTGTTTATTGGGCCACCGCATCTGCTTACTGAAAAATATCTAAGATGGCCTAGATTTGAATGGAATATGAAACAATTAATTTGAACTTGGGAAAGGAGTATGTCAAGTTCTATACTGTAACCTTAATTATTTAACTTAAATGTAGACTATGTCAAGAGAAATGCTGGCCTAGAAGAAATAACAACGCCACAGATATGCTATGGATACCATTTTGATGGCTGAAAGCAATTGAATGAACTTAAGAAATACCTTGTTGAAATTTAAAGAGTACAAAAGATAGCCTTCTGCTATATTAACCCCATCCCCCAAAGAGTATGTCAAAACTTCATCTTCCTAGCCTCAAAAATTCACAGGGGTGGTGATTGTAACATGAAATGAAAAGATCTGCTACTTGGGAGAAAGCAGAGTGGAATCTGATTAATATTGGATGGGAGACCATAAGGAAATCCTATGGCTGTAGGCTAGATCAAAGTCAGGAACAAAACAAAGAAACAGAAGAAGGTAATGACAAACCACTTCCATAACGTTGCCATGAAAATTACATGGATATATTCTTGTTTATTTCCAGGAACTGAGCTTGACTTGAAAGGGGCACTGCCCATCTAATGGCTGTCCATCTGTACCAATCAATGACTACAATTTAGGAGGTAACAATTAGTATCATTCCAGCCATAACATATATATCAGAAAGTTCTAGTGTAGCACAATAGCAAAAAAATGACAACAAAAATCCATCATGTAGAAAT